CCTCTATTGTATAGGTTGGACTAAGTGGTTGCTGAAATTACTTCTAACTCTCAAATTCTGTAATTCTATGATCAGTTGTCTTTTAAGTGTTGGAGTTCTGACTCCAAAGTCAGAAAATCTAATCTTGAATCTGGCCTTATATTCATACTAACTGTATGCTTGAGAAAAATCATTTTAATTCTATAAACCTCAGTTTCCTCATCTGTTAAAAAAAAAACAACAACAAATAGCAACTCTTGTTCTGTCTCATTCACCAGATAGTTGTTTAGAAAGTATTATCTCCACTGTTAAGTCTCATGTTTACTATTCACTGGGGAAAATTAGAAGATAATTCCTCTCCCCACAAAAATTATTTGTATTTATATTGTTTATATTTTCTGTTTAACTCATCTGAATAAATGTTCACTCTCTTCAACCTCTACCCCCATTTTAGATGTAAGCGCCTTGAGATCAAGAACTCCTTTGTTTTTGCCTCTTTATCCCCAGCCCCTTTCCCTATGTCTGATCATACTAAGAATTTAATAAATGCTTCTTGAAGTATGATATGGTTGATTTAGTTTTATATTCAGTCGTGAGTTCCAGTCCTGCATACTATCCTTACCATGATCTCATGCTCTTCCCCCACCCCTTACCCCCTGCCACCCTATACTAGCATAGCCAACTTCCAGATCTATGTGTCCCTCTTACCACCCTGGATGCTAGCCACACCAGGGGTAGGGCTCACCTCCCTCTCCTGAGATGGAGTTCAGTTCTGGAAAGAACAACTACTCCCAGAAAAGATGGTTTCTTGAGGTGAACATTCCCCCTAATCAAACACATTATAAGACCCCTTTCTTTTCGTCCTCTACCATGTTTCAATGGTACCTCTTTGTTTCCCCCTTTTAGAATGAGACCTTTCCATTCCCTCACTTACTCCAGTTCCTCTCCTCTACTGTTCTTACCCTTTTCTTCTATTACCCTTCATTAAAAGATTAAAGAAATTACTCTTTTTTTTTCTCTGCTTACATCACAGTCAGGTGAGAGAGCATCTTTAGCTGCCTTCTGTTTCTTGCCTTCCATTTCCTCACTTAGGGAACTTCCCACTGTTTTATTCTCCTGTCTCTCCTTCCCTTTCCCCCATGCACACAAAATATTGATTCATTTCTAGAGGGGTGTAAGTTTTAAAGTATTCTTTAATGAAATAAAAATTATTTAAGTAGAGAGATATTCAGTGCTCTTGGTTGTCTTGAGTCAGTGTGATACACATCATCTTATCCAAAGTAATTTATAGATTTAGTGATGCACCAATCAAACTAAGAGGTAGAATCTCCAAATAAGAAGTAGCACTTTCAGATCACAAGCTATGCTATAAAGCTGTAATCAGAAAAGCTATTTATTCTCATTTAAAAGGTTTAAAGTGGATTATCATAACAGACAAGAAAAGCAAGAGTCAGAAACAATAACACTCAATAAAAGTGTTTGATAAATTTAAGTACATGAGCTATGTGCATATTCCCTCTTTGACAGAAAGTGCTGGGAAAACTGGAAACTAGTTTGGCAGAACCCAACACCTTATTCTTCACACCACAGTTACTCAAAATGGATATGCAGCCTGAATATGAAAGGTCACACCATTTTTTTTTAAATCAAGAGAAAATGAGATGAGCTCCCTCTCATAACTATGTTTAGGGAAAGAATTCTTAAATAAGGGACAGAGGTTGTCACAAAAGGTAAAAGAGATTTCAGTTACATGAAACTGAAAACTTGTAAAAGAACAATCTCTGTAACTAAGATAAGGGAAGTTGTCAACTGGAAAATAAAATCTTTCCATCAAGTATTTCTGGTGTGGGTTTCATATCCAATATGTGAATTAAAAGAAATATATGAAACCAGAACCATTTTTCCATGGATAAGCACTAGATACTTATAAGTCCATAGGTAGGTGCTAAAGATAGCTCAGATAGGTTCATGAGAGCTTATTGTTAAAATTTTCAGCATGAGCATGAACCTTAGAAACTGCAAATACTACAAATCCAGACTTGATTTGTTTTGTTGGTTGTCTATGATAATAATGCAGATTAAATGTAAAAGTGTATCCTGCAGTGTAAAGATGGTTGTTAAACATTCAAACTGTAAGTTGGTTTAGCCATTTTAGGAAAGCAGTTTGTAATTATGCAGAAGAAGTGACTGAAATGTTTATATCTTTTGATCTAGAGATTCTGCTTCTAGGTATATTCCCCAAGAAAGCCCCAAGACAGGTCTCATGTACACCAGAATATTCATAGCACCAATTTTTGTGGTTAGAAAGATCTGGAAACAAACTGAATGCCATCAGTTGGGGAATGGATAAACAGATTATGTAACATAAATATAATGAGATATTACTGCACTATTAAGAATTATTAAGATGAAGATTTCAGAGAAGCATGGGAAGATTTATTTGAACTGATGAAAATGAAGTAAAGAGAACAAGGAAAACAATATATCCAATGACCAACACAAATGTAATTAAACATTATTTAATTATAATTTCCAAGTTTAAGTCCAAGAAAATAAGAAAATGAACCTATGTCCTTTTTTTTTCCGGAAGTGGAGAACTATAGGTGTAGACCATTGCACGTACAGTCAAACTCAATTGAATTGTTGGTCTGTTTTGCTGAACTGCTTATTTTTCCCTTTTTTATTCTATTTCAGGAGATGGCTTGTTGGATAGAAGAAAGTAGAGTAATATATTTGGAACAAAGATTGCATTTAAATTAAAATTATTGATAATTTTTTAAAAATTTGAATAAAACTCTTAATTTATAAGGTATAATAATAGTAGTATTATATCTTCTAATCTACTTTCTATCCTTAGTTTAAAATAGACTGTAACTTAGTGCAGAGGTCATTGTTTGAATCTCTCTTGCCACTTATATTCTGATATCAAGTTTTGTATTGCATTTCACAGTTCCCATGGAGAATGTTGCAACAATTGCTGATTGTGCTAGTGTGATTGAGGGCGTGAGTCGCAGTCGCAATGCCTTGTTGAATGGTGACACCAAGAATTATGATTGGGATTCTGGATATACCTGTCACCAACTAGGAAGTGGTGCCATTGTGGTTCAGCTGGCACAACCATATATGATTGGGTCAATACGGTAAGATGATTACTTTTTCTTATGAAGTGTCAATATATGACTTTTGTTGTCCTAACAAGTTGTCCACTTTAGAAGTATAGTGATTGTTTATTCACTTAGACAAGTTAGGAACTTCTTTTTCAAAACTTACTTTGATTTAGAAGAAACTTTATTTCACATTTTTTAACTCTTTAGGCAGTGAGGGGATATAATATAATACAGTTCCAAGTAATTATACGAACTTACCTGTGTGCATTCTCGAACACATGTCTCATGTTTGCAGCTAAAATGCTTGCATCCCAGATCACCTGAAGTGACCCCACTTAGCCATTGAACTTGAGGGTAGGTAAGAAGCTCTTCGAAGTGGTCTAGAACAGTTATTTTATGTGGGCTCACAGAGTATGACTCTAAAATAAAACAAAAAATTGTGAACAAAATAGGATTTAAATAAAAATGAAAAACAGCCCTAAGCAATGCTACTTTTTGACTTGATGATTTAAAAGAATCTCAGTTTGTAGAGAAAACTTGAGTTTGCCTCACAGACACAGTGAATTTCAGAATCTCAGAGCTGGAAGAGACTTCTTTGGCCATCTAATCCAACTCATACCTAAAAAAGACTCCCCTCTCCAAAATACCTGATAAGCATTTAAGCAAATTTTGCTTAAAGACCTCCATTTGGGGGTATGGAGAAGAGAATCCACTGCCTATTTTCCATTTATGGATTGCTCTAATTATCTGGAAATTTTTCCTGCCACCAAGCCTAAATTTGCCTATTGTATAACTTTTACCTGTTGCTTTTAGTTCTTAATGAAGGCATGCTTGTTCTTTGTGATCACCTCTTCCTTTTCTAGATGTTTACTAACCCCTCCTTTAGTAATATATCCTAATTTTTTTTCAAGATTTGAATTAACTCCCACTAGCCTGTAGTTTGGAGATTTTTGTTGGTGTCATTAAAGATTACTAGCTGCTGTAACTTCAGTGGCTATTCTATATTTAGTGAGAAGGGTGCTCAGACTCTAGTAGATGTTTTTCACAGTAATTAGTAGTAGTATATGTACTGCTCATATTTATGATTTCATTCTAATAGGGATGAGGCCAGGTACTGTAGTTCCATTTTAACCAGAGTAGGACGTGTTCTCCACAAGTGTCTTCTCCATTGCAAAAAGCATAAGACATGATCAGTATTGTAAACAACTATGGCAGTTGTAAATTCCTTAGATACAACCCGTAACTTCATAGGATAAATTGAATTCAGAAGAATGTACCCAGGTGATCTGAACCGCTGCTCTAGGAAACAGAGTTCCAGCTACTGGGGAGATTTAAAAATAGCTTAATGAACTGAGAAATGAATATAATATTTTAAAGGTACCAATATAAAAGGTATACTTTTTTGCAAATAAGTTGAATTAGGGATTAACAATATTTTACCTATGTATGAGTCTAGAAACATCTTAGGGAGAAATTAGTCTTAATTCAAGTAATCATATAATGGTATAGTTTAGAAAAACTATACAATCCCCCTCACCATACATGAATCCCCTCTGTAGCATCCATCCCTTAGAGATAGTCATCTAGCCTCCGTTTGTCACAGCTTCAGCGATAATGAACTCATCCATATTCCACAAGATCATCTGTCTGATTTTTGGGTAATTCCAATAATCAGAAACTCTTAATTTGTTTTGAAAAGTATATTGAGCCTCCTTAAAGTAAGCTTCTGCTTATTTTCTGAGAACTGTACAGAAGAACTTGAGAGCTTTCTCAATTGGTTTCCCTTCTAAAAATGAGATTCTAATGAGCAAAGTTCCTTGGAAGTGTTTCTCCAAGTAGCACAAAGAAATTAAAACCTACTTTTTTGATTTTTTACTAAAATCATGAATTTTTTTTTTTTACTAGAAGGGTAGAAGTTACCCTGACCAGAATATGCTGCAAGTTTCCTATTCATATGAGACTCATAAAGGGACTCTGTCAATCATTCAGTATTCCTTACACCATGTTAATTAATGTCACTTTGTAATATGGCAAGTAGGATCATCCAAAAAAGGTATAACATCCTCCCGCGTAATGACTATTAGGAACAATCCCAACACTAGTCATCTTCTTTGTTTTTATTGTAAGAAAAATTAATTGAGGACTCCTATATAGTAAGTAAATCCCTTTAAAACCCAGCCTTCATGAGAGATTTTTTTTTTTTCAGATATGGTGTAGAACAAATTTGGTATAAAAGGGTTTCTGGTAATTTAAATCAATCTCTCTTACTGTTTCTTAGCCCCAAGAGGCAGCTAGCGACATAATAAATAGAGTGCTGGTCTAAAGAGTCAGGAAAACCTGAATTCAAAGGTGGCCTTAGACACTTACTAGCTGTGTGACTGTAGTCAAGTCACTGAATTTTTTCTTCAGCTACAAAATGGGAATAATAGTAGAACCTACCTCACAGGGTTATTGTGAGGCTCAGATAAGGTAATATATGTATAGTGTTTTATAAACCTCAAGGCACTATATAAATATTAGCTATTTATAGCTGTTTAGGTCAGCTTTTTTTTCCCCTATAAAATGAGAATTGTGGATGGATTGTAATGTGAGACCCTCCCTGGATATGACTTTCTACTTATTTTCTCGCCAAACTTCAGGAGATTTTTAGAAGGCTTTGAAGGCTGTCAAGAGATTAAATAAATAAACATCATTGTTTTTAGGTGTATAGTTTTTTGTATAAGCATTGAATCATTTTAAACATTGAGAAAGAGCAGTGTCATAGTAGCTCTTTGGAATTGGCTTTTTTAGTCTCTTAAGAGGGAATTTTATGCAGACACTACTGGATTTGCAAGAACTGTATTTTTTGGTGTGGGACTGTGCCCAAAGGGCAGCCCATTAAGTCAAGAAAGCTGACAGGTTCTAGAGTGAGAGATCTCTTTATAGCTGCTAATAGGGCCTCTGAGGAGTTTGTTGAGGAAGGAGACATCCAGCCTTCCTCATTTCACATTGGCATTTCTTTCTTCCATAAAAAGTAAAGTAAAAAGATAAAATAATGTCATTTTAATACGATAAAAGGTTCTTTTCACATTAAGGTTAAAACCTATAAAGCTTAGTACAACTTGCTGGTATCTTGGGCTACCTTGGGGATTTGATGCTGGATTTCTTGTAGTCACAAAATGTGGAACCCTTCATAAAATGAAACTTTATAATTGGCTAGGTTACCAGTTGAGAACAACTGATAGAGAGCCTTTAAGTTTGAACCTCAGACTAGAAGGTTTTGTGTTTGATAAATGGGAAAAGTGGTAGCATTCTAGGAAACAGAGGAGCCCAGATCCTCCTAAAATACGCTTGTGAGGTTTAGAAATGCATGCATCTAGAATGAAATAAGAAGGATCACCTTTACATTTCTCCACTGAGCTCTGGAATCCACACAACTCCTAGACTCCAGAGATTCTTATACAAGCTGGGTTAAAGCACAGAGAAGCCCTGGGAAATTCAACACAGGTCCAATGTAGTTAAGCCTGGAAGCAGGAGAAAAGTCCCAAAGACTGACCCTGGTATCCCTGAAGTCCGTGGCAACAAGGGAGCTCTAGTAGGGGTTTGGCCCAGCACAGAGATCCAGGTCAGCAGGATCTGAACGGTAGGTCCATGAATCTAGAATCAGGAGACAGACCCTGGACAAAGCCCAGCCCAAGGTGTCTCCTATTCCCTTTGCAGAAGCTTAGTACAGGAGCACATCCTGAGCCTAGAAGCAGGAGGGAAGGACCCCAATGAGCTTAATGCAGGGGGAAGACTTGCAACTCTATGGCAAGAGAGAGCCTCCCAGACAGAGCCTAATACTTGACTAGTCTGAGAGTCCCTTGAAGAAGGGTCTTAGTCTTAGCCACTATAATCAAGATCAGGAAGTCTTTGCCCATGCCATTCAGTCATAGAGCCTGGCCCAAGTACTGGCCTTCCCTCTACCATATCCCCCCAGATTAGACACTGAGGCTGCAGGAATAAGGAAACCAAGGAAAACTCTGCATATCATGAGGAAATGCCTTGGTTGGAGAGAACCCTTGGAGGTAAACCCAAAGGAAGACAGCAACCCTATGACAACTACAGGTAAAACCTTGGGGAAAGGAAGGGGGACATCCTGGCCACAAGGACTATAGGAATACCTAGAAGAAATGAAACAAGAGATACGAAATGGAATAACCAGGGAGGAAAGAATGTTAAGAATTGATACTTTAGAAGAGTCAGTGGAAAACCTCATCCAAAAACTAAATGCTATTAAAATTAAAATGAGCTAGGTAGAAAAAAATGACCCTAAGACAGCAAGAAATATTTTTAAAAGTCAAAGAATTGAAAAAACATGTCTTAAGAAACATTTTATCAGCAACTACTGACCTTGAAAACAAGTCAAGGGGAGATAATCTAAATTTTCAAACTATCTGCAAATCATGACCCAAAAAAGTCCAAATATCATATTTCAGGAAATTATAAATGACAACTGTCCTGAACTCTTAGAAACAGAGAGCACAGTGCAAAGAACCCACCAATAGCCTCCTGAAAGAAACAAAAAAAAAAAGAGAGAGAGAGAGAGAGAGGAGACCCAGGGACATCATAGCCAAAATCCAGAGCTTCTAGTTCAGAGAGAAAAGAGTTCAAAAAGAGCCAAAAGGAGTTCAAGTGCCAAGGAGCCACAGCAAGGATCATACAACATAGCAGCTGCTTTTTTTTAGGAGAGGAGAATTTGGAATACTACATTCCAAAAGGCAAAAGATACAGGCTGAGGAGTATAATCCTTCAAGTGAGGGGTGGGGGTTGGCCTTTCACCTAAGAGAAGATTTTCAAGCATTCCAGATGAAAAGACAAGAACTGAGTAGATATTTTGAAATGGAAATGCCAAAAAACAAAAAAAAATTCAGAGAAACATGGAAAGGGACACGTTTTGTTTTAATTGGAAGGGAACGCATAAATTATTTTACATGTTTATGGGAGGTAGAGGGAAGAGAAACAAATGTCTTCCCAAGCTCCTAATATCTTTTTAGGCTCATGGAGAAAGGTAA